AAGAACCAGGGCTCCTTAGAGAAATAGCTGATTTCAGGAAATTATAAGATAGCCTGGAAAATCTTACTGAGCCACAGAGAGGCACACCCAAAGAATATAGAAGCCAGCTTGGAGAGGGCACATGGTCAAATCCAGGTTAATTTGAGCATTAAAATTAATGACAATAATGAATTATAATGGACTACATAAAAGAATCAATTTTTTGTAGATTTTATAAGGGGAAAAGTATAAACATTTTCCTTATAAAAGAGTTATCAGTTAATTTGGTCATAGGCTTGCCCCAAGGGGGCTGACTCTTCCAGGTAGGTAGGAGGTGAGAACAAGGCCCCATAAGGCTACACTCTCATTAAGCTGCCTGGAACCCACACATTGTCTATAGATGCATTTACCTCAGGACCAGGTCTTTCTATTGATGGCAATATCCTAAAGAATCTCAAGTGTTCACCAATGGAATGTTCATAAAAGCCTGGTTTGTCATTTTACAAGCTGAGAAGCAATCTAAATTCATCAAGAGTAAAATGGATAATAAAAATAATGACATAAATATACAATGGAATAATTTAGTACAATAAAATTGAATGAACTGTGCAATTTACACATCTCAAAAGCAATGTTGAAAGAGAAAAACAGCAGGTTAACAACAACAACAAAACACACACACACACAGTGTGATTCCATTTATATAAAGACCTGCAGCACACACAGCTAAGCAACAGATTATTGAAGTCTTTATACCTATGTGCAAAGCCATAAAGAAAGCAAATGAATAATTGATAAAATTTTAGGATGCCTGTTATGTCTTGAGAGGAAAGGATTCAGTGGAGGTAGGAGGGGGATCTGGAGTGTGGGTCTTTGAAAGTACTAGAAAGGTTCTGCTTCTAATGGTGAGTGCATAGTACACAAGGGTATGTTTCATTTTTATTCTTCAAACTATACACATGCATTCTCTGGTGCAATATATTTCAGAACAATTTTTAAGAATCATTTTTTAAGAAGATTCGTGAACTATCAACAACCTTACTTTTCCCCATCCCACATTGAATAAAAAATATTTGAGTAATCACATAAATCTAGGACTGTAAATTAACAACTGGATTTCTTTACATTTTAAAAGCAAAACCCTATGTTTTCAGCCCTAGGTACTGATTTAAGTCAAATTAATACCACATTCTTTGTTTTTTGGTCCCAGACTATTTAACATAAATGTGAATTGATCCTATTTATTCAGACTTTTCCACTTCTACCAGAAACTTCACACTCGTGCCTGAAGGTACAAATTGTTTACATTTCCCACCCTATTCAAATCAAATGGTTTCCCTTTATGTTCAGTAAATTATATTGGTAACACAAAACTTTATATATATATGTGAGCAATATCCTATAGTTAAGAACAAAATACTGTATGCCTGGAGGAACACACCATTTGTTTTACTAAAAGGTCTTTTTCTTTTAATAGTGGTATAGACTATGGTTTTAAGATAGTGGAAGACATCACCACGACCACTAAAAAAAAAAAAAAAAAATGCAGAAACTTCTCCCAACTTAACTTCAGTGGACTGGAATAATGGTCAAAAGTTGCCAGTAATGTGGGTAGCTCTTCTGCTTTGAAATTGTAGTCCAGAACCTGCCGAGTCCACAGGGAATTGACTGTCCCTATCCTGGCTCCCTGCTCAACACAACTGAGCAGAGGCAGAACTGGGCAAGATTTCCTCAGCTCTGCACACCGACTTTGGTTCTCTCCTTCCAGCCTCCACTCCACAATGTCCAAGAGTCTTCTGTCTAAGAGCCTGGAGTGACACTGCACCTGGCAAAGTTTTCCTGCCTTCCCAGTGTACAGTTCAGTTCAGTCAAGGCCAGCCTATTGCTGCCATTGCTCTTATTCAATAACTGGAGTCCATCTGGAGTGTCCGAAAGCACCATTACTACAGGCACTCTTCCTCCCAGAGAAACACGAATTTTAAAGCTTGTCTTAGGTTGAGCTCCAGAAGCAGCTGCTGAGAGGAGAATTCAGGTGTAAATGATTTATTAAAGAAGTGCTTCCCAGAGAAACCAGGAAGAGAATTTGGACATAGGACAGAGAAAATTCCCATCCCAAACAGCGTCCTACAGAGGTAGCTTTAATCTGCTCTTGGGAGGAGCTCCAGGACGAAGGGAAAGGAGGCCTCAGGGGCAGACCAATGCTCCCAGGCATTTCTGACTCTCCAGATGCTTGTAACCAAAGTCTCCAGGATCCCAGAGTGGTCCTAAAGAGAAGAGGACACTGGCCAGGGAGAGGCACACAGAGGTCAGTTTTCTGTCATTGTGATGAACTACTTAAGATCAATAAAGGAGGAAAATTCAGCCTTCAGCCCACTCCTCTGCCTCTGACTCCCATCACCCCTCTCATGGTTTATTTTGGCTCTTGATTTTAGTTCATGATCAACTGGCCCCGTGACCTGGGGCCTGTAGTGGCACAGTGTATCATGGAAGGGTACATGTGGGGGAGGAAAGTCCTCACCTCATGGCAGTCAGGAAGCTGAGAAAGAGAGAGAAACTGGGGGTCCCTATAACCTATTCAAGGGCATACCTCCAATGATCACCCTTCATTCCACTTGGCCCCACCTCCTAAAGATTCCACTCTCTCCCTCCCAATGGTGCTATCAACTTTTGGAGTGTAGGCCTTTGGGGAACATTTAAGATCCAAACCATAATAAGCTACACAAATCAGATCATATGGAATGCCAGGGTGCCACCTTGCCCTTCAGGGCAAGAAGAATAAATGATATGAGAATCTGAGCAATATGGGCAGGTACAGATGCATGGGCTGCCCAGATGCATGGGCTAAGTTTAACCAAACAGGCCTCTGAAGAGCCTGGCCCCTGGCCTGCCAATCCCTGGTTTCTGATGTTGCCCCTGCCTCTGGATTTGCTCTTTGCTACTGGCTTTGTCCTCAAGGCCTTGGCATGGATGCCTGAAAGCAGAGCTGCCTGAGTTGCTCTCTGGGCCTGGGAATGTATGGTCTGTTTATGCTCTTGTTTAAGCCAGTGACCTCTGTCTGGAATTGCAGGATCTGAGGACCTAATGCTAAAAAGAGAGATACTGTGCACCTCAACTTCTGTGTGAGTGCTGGTCTAGATGATGCTAGAAAACCCAGGCTTCAGCCCACTTCTCTGTCTCTAACTCCTGTCACCACTCTGTTTTTGCTTCTCCTCCCCTGTACCAGATTTTGCCTTTTGCACCCTATTGTCCTTCTCTCTGCTGAGTGACCAGTTGTTGGAGCTAGAACTACTGAACACAGGTGGGGCCACCTGTTTTTTACAAGCCTTTCTGCCCCACATTCAACAGCTGTAAGTTCCAGCATTTCAAAGGCCCATCCATTCAAAGGGAGGGAAATGAGAGAGGGAGTGAAGCAGTGCCAGATCAGGCCTGAGCACTGACCAGCAGCCTTCCTCAGCCTAGTCCTGGGAAATCAGATGGAGAATTTTCAGCCAAATCTGGATCATAGATCTGACTAAGAATCATCTGGATTCAAATCTCAATGTCACTGGATACCCAGGAGGATGTTGAGTGCGTAGGACATTGTACCACTCTGATCACTCTTATGTAGCTCAAAGCACAAACACATTTGGCTATACTTTCCTTTTATTTCCTAGAGGCCTTTGACTATTTTTACTTATCACATTAAGATGAAGATTACATTTAAATGAAGGAAAGCAGTTTCTGAGGTACAGGTTATCAACCATGTTGTGTTGCCAGCCCTGGCAAAGGGAAACTTGCTATTTATGCTATTTATTTTGTAGAAGAAAATATAATTAAAATACCAAGAAGTCACATATAGCATAGACTGAAATATGTAAAAACATATGCATAATATGTGAGGAAATACCTACTTTCTACATGTTTAAATGTTTATCTGCAAAAGCTATTAAGGGAAAGTAGAAAATTATGTTTTAGGTAGTAGATTAAATACAATAATTTTTGCAAAATACCTTGAAGTTCTAAAATATGACAGTTAACTATTGACAAACCAAAAAATAAATCTACAATCAATTAAATTTGGAGAAATTTTATTTAAACAGAATTAAGCAGGTAACTTTGCAATAAGCCCTCATAAAAATTTATGAACTAATGCTCCTTGTAAATTAGTGAGGTAATAGAGTATGTTCTGGATTCCAGATTTATATGAACACAGAATCCCTCATGATTTCTATGTAAACACCGGGTTTCTGCGGAACACCCTCCCATTCAACCCATTTCAGAAGAGCAACTGTAGGAAAATATATTAAGTGAAATGTTCTAAAAACCAGTATCTCTTACTGTACATTTTATGAAATTCTATCAGATTTATTTATGAAATTTTATGAGACTCTCATACCCATTCACCTACTCAATAGTGGGATTGTTGGATTATGTGCTAGATCTATTTTTAACTTTTGAGGAATCTCCATACCGTTTTACATAGCATCTATACTAATTTACATTCATGTTAACAGTACATAGGAGTTCACTATTCTCCATATTCTCTCCATGACTTGTTGTCTTTTGTCTTTGATAATAGCCATTCTTACTGGAGTTCAGTGTCATCTCATCGTGGTTTTGATTTGCATCTCCCTCATGATTAGTGATGTTAAACATTTTTTTCACATACCTGCAGGACATTTGCATGCCCTCTTTTGAAACATGGTTGTTTAGGTTTATTGCTTATTTTTAAATAAGGTTTTTCTTTTTTCTTTTTTGCTATTGAGTTTTTGAAATTCCTTAGTTCCTTATACTTGAAAAAAAAGAAGAAACTATAGAACTCAAATAACATAATAACTTAGACTTAACTGACCTATATAGAATATTTCATTCTTCAATGAGAAAATACACTTTCTTCTCAGCAGCACATGGATCCTTCTCTAAAATAGACTATATTATGCCACAAAGCAACTCTTAGCAAATATAAAAAAGTAGAGATACTACCTTATATTCTATCAGATCATAATGAAATGAAATTAGAAATCAAAGATAAAATAAAGAAAAGGATAATTTAGGCCTCGGAGGAGCAGTGGTGGTCACGCTCTATAAGATGGGGTTTCCGGAAGCTGCCAGGACACATCAGATTGAGGCTGCTCCTACCAGTGCTGCAAGTGATGGATTTAAGGCAGATCTTGTCTTTAAGGAGATCGAGAAGAAGCTTGAAGAGGATGGGGAACAGTTTGTGAAGAAAATTGGTGGTATTTTTGCCTTCAAGGTGAAGGATGGTCCTGGGGGTAAAGAAGCCACCTGGGTGGTGGATGTGAAGAATGGCAAAGGATCAGTGCTTCCCAACTCAGATAAGAAGGCTGACTGCACAATCACCATGGCTGACTCGGACTTACTGGCTTTAATGACTGGTAAAATGAATCCTCAGTCGGCCTTCTTTCAAGGCAAATTGAAAATCACTGGCAACATGGGGCTGGCAATGAAGTTACAAAATCTTCAACTTCAACCAGGCAAAGCTAAGCTGTGAAGAATTCCCTTTAGCAACTTTGGAAAATCGAGATGAGATATATAGATATATATCCACATATTTCATTGTCAGAACTTAGACTGAAACTACACATTGGCAAATAGCATGAGACAGATTTGTTAAATGGGTGTGTAACCAATTGTGTTTTTCCTATGCTCTTGGTAAACAGAGCCTGATGGTGTCCTACTGCTTTGAGGAATTGCATACAACTGTGCATGACAAAGTTAATATGGTAATTATGGTTTGGGGTAAATTAGTTTCAGAATAAAATTAGGAACAGTAAAAATCTAAAAACTATGCAAACAAAAGCTCTCATTTTGCTTAGAAGTTATATTTAAGGATTATTCTGCTGAAGATTCAGTGTAAGTTTTTCTTGGGAGAACTAGGGAAGAAACAGAATAGCAGAAGCTGACCAGTAATTAGTGTTATGCACTTAATGACCCGAATCAGTTTCTTACTAATAATTAAAATTCTGTACTGGGATTTCAAAACAAATCAAAACTTGTAAACTTTTGCATTTCATGACATCAGAAAAGATTTTTTTTTCTTCCCAAATAAAGTGATAAAATCAGAAAAAAAAATAAAATAAAATAAAATAAAGAAAAGCCCCTCCAACACCTGGAAACTAAATAATATGCTACTGAATGAACAATGGGATGCAAAAGACATCAAGGAGGAGATTAAAAAATTCTTAGAGGTAAATGAGAACATTGATATAACATATTGAAATCTCTGGGAAACTATGAAGGCAGTACTAAGAGGAAAGTTCATTGCATGGAGTTTATTCCTTAAAAGAAGAAAAAGTCAACAAATAAATGACTTACTATCACATCTCAAAGACCTAGAAAAAAAGAACAAATCAACACCAAAAGCAATAGAAGACAGGAAATAATGAAAATCAGAGCTGAAATCAATGAAATTGAAACAAAAGAAACAATTGAAAAATTGACAAAATAAAAGTTGGTTCTTTGAAAAAAATAAATAAAATTGACAGACCCTAGCCATGCTAATGAACAGAAGGAGAGAGAAAACTCAGATTACAACATCAGTGATGAAAAATAAAATATCACAATGGACACTATAGAAATACACAAGATAATTAGAAATTATTTTGAAAACTTGTACTCCAATAAAAGAGAAAATATTGAAGGCATCGACAAATTTCTAGAGTTGTATGATTTGCCCAAATTGAATCAGGATGATGCACACAATTTAAACAGATCAGTTTCAAGCAATGAAATAGAAGATGCCATAAGAAGCCTACCAACCACAAAAAGCCCAGGACCAGATAGGTGCACAGTTGAGTTCTACAAGACCTTTAAAGAAAAATTAATACTAATACTCTTCAATTTCTTTCAGGAAATAGAAAAAAAGAGGAAGCACTTCCAAACTCATTCTATGAGGCCAATATCACCCTGATTCCAAAACCAGACAAAGACACATCAAAGAAAGAAAACTTCAGACCAATGTCTCTAATGAACATAGATGCAAAAATTCTCATTAAATTTCTGGAAATTTGAATACAAAACATATCAAAAGATAGTATGCCACAATCAAGTGGGATTCATCCCAGGGATGCAAGGTTGGTTGCATCCTTGCAGAAAGAGAGAGAGCAAGAGCACTCGCTGACCCCTTTTATTGAGGGAAGCTACTCAAATGAGGCAAGGGTCAGGTTTCAGGGGGCTGAGTATCTTCATGATGTCCACTGTCAGCAGGTTGACTGACACTTGGGTAGGCCATACCCAAGGGCACAGTAAGAGAAGGGGACACACACAGGCACTTCCATGGAAGATTCTATCCTAAACAGGGCGAGGGGTTAGATTACAAAGGAACAGGTGAGCATAGCTTCACCCATGGGGCTGTAGCAAGACACACCCATGCATGAGACACCGACTCTTGAACCCAAGAAGGGTGCCACATTTCTGCGACTGAGCGCCTCAGCATCCCAGCAGGGAGTGTAACTCAGTCATGTGTAAGGTTGGCCTCCCACAAGAAAACTTCTAGAACTAGTAAATGAATTCAGCAAAGTAGCAGGATACAAAATCAACACCCGTAAATTAAAGGCATTTCTGTATATCAGTGACAAATCCTCTGAAAGAAAAATGAGGAAAACCACCTCACTTACAATAGCCTCAAAAAAAAGAAAAGAAAAGAAATACTTGGAACTCAATGAAAGAGATGAAAGACTTCTACAACAAAAACTACAGAATGCTAAAGAAAGAAATTAAAAGAAGACCTTAGAAGATGAAAAAAAATCACCCTTGTTCTTGGATAGGCAGAATTAATATTGTCAAAATGACCATACTATCAAAAGTATTGTGCAGATTTAATGCAATTCCAATAAAAATCCCAATGAAATTCCTCATAGAAATAGAAAAGCAATCATGAAATTCATCTAAATAATAAGAGATCCAGAATAGCTAAAGCAGCAAGAAGAGTGAAGCAACTAGCATCACTATAACAGACCTTAAAATATACAGAGCAATAGTAACAAAAACCAGCATGGTATTGGCACCAAAATAGATTTATAGACCAATGGTACAGAATAGAGGACACAGAGACTAACCCACATAATTACAGTTATCTTACATTAGCAAAGGTGCCAAAAACATGCATTGGAGAAAACATAATCTCTTAAACAAATGGTGCTGGGAAAACTGAAAATCCAAATGCAACAAAATGAAATTAAACCCCTGTCTCTCACCATGCACAAAACTCAAAGTGGATCAAGGACCTAGGAATTAAACCAGAGACACTGCATCTATTAGAAGAAAAAGTAGGCCCAAATCTCCATCATGTTGGATTAGGCCCCAACTTCCTTAATAAGACCCCTATAATGCAAGAATTAATATCAAGAATTAATAATGGGATGGATTCAAACTAAAAAGCTTCTTCTCAGTAAAAGAAACAATCAGTGAGGTAAATAGAGAGCCTACAGAATGGGAGCAAATTTTTACCACACGCACATCAGATACAACACTAATCTCTAGGATATATAAAGAACTCAAAAATCTTTTTTAACACCAAAAAAAAAAAAAAAACCCAATCAATAAATGGACCAAGGAACTGAACAGACATTTCTCAGAAGAAGATATACAATCAATCAACAAATATATGGAAAAAATGTTTAACATCTCTAGCAATTAGAGAAATGCAAATCAAAACTACTCTTAAATTTCATCTCACTCCAGTCAGAATGGCAGCTATTAAGAATACTAAAAACAATAAGTGTTGGCAAGGATGTGGGGGAAAAGGCAGACTCATACATTGCTGGTGGCGTTGCAAATTGGTACAGCCAATATGGAAAACAGTATGGAGAATCCTTGGAAAACTGGGAATGAATTTGACCCAGCCATCCCACTCCACCATCTATACCCAAAGGACTTAAAAGCAGCATACTACAGAAACAGCCACGTCAATGTTTATAGCAGCACAATTCACAATAGCTAAACTATGGAACCAACCTAGATGCCCTTCAGTAGATGAATGGATAAAGAGAATGTGGTATATATACACAATGGAATATTATTAAAAGAGAATAAAATCATGGCATTTGCAGGTAAATGGATAGAGTTATAGAATATAATGTTAAGTGAAGTTAATCAATCCCCCCAAAACAAATGCTGACTGTTTTCTCTGATTTAAGGATGCTGATTTATAATGCGGGGGAGGGGGGGCATGGGAGGATTAGATGAACTCTAGATAGGGCAAAGGGGAAAAGGGGAGGGAAAGGAAGGCAGGGTGCATGGAGGTAAAAAAGACGGTGGAATGAGATGGATATCATTACCCTAAATACATGTATGAATACATGGATGGTGTGATTCTACTTTGTGTACAACCAGAGATATGAAAAAATGTGCTCTATATGTGTGATATAAATTGTAATGAATTCTGCTACATATATAACAATTTTATAAAAATAAAAAATATTTTTTAGTTGTTGATAGACCTTTATTTTATTTATTTATATGCAGTGCTGAGAATCATGCCAGGCAGTGCACTACCACTGAGCTACAATCCCAGCCCAGTTCCTTATACATTCTTCATATTAAGCCCTCATCAGATGCAGTTTACAAATATTTTCTCCCATTCTGTCAGTGGTCTGTTGATTGTTTACTTTGCTGTGCAGAAGTAAAACCATTTCTTTTTCCTTTCACCACCAAGAAAGAAAACTGGTTTCTTTTAACTTTGAAAATATAAATAATAATAAAGAGATTGAATTAGCCCCGAACCAAGGTAATTTGGAGAAAACAAGAGTTGTTTTTTTTTTTCAAAGAATATCTTTTCAGCTCAGTTTGAAGGAATGATAAAATGATGAAATAAAACTTTCACAATGTATGTCACGGTCTTAAATTCCTTTAAAATATGAGTGCTTGATTTAGCTAAGCAAGAAATTTTAATCAGCATTAAGGACATCATCTCATATTTCTGCTTTTCAGAATATTTTTTGCTTTTTACAAATCTCACTCCTTGCTCAGGTTTTAGGGTCATTACTATTCACATGGCTGTTCGCATGGCAAGTTCTGCAGCCTGGTCCATCTGTCCTATATTTGTGTTATAGGACAGCTGTAGCATGTGAAAATTGTAGCTCCAAATTATGAACCTGAGGCATTTGAACTTCTGAAGTAGTTTTGAAACTGTAAAAGAAAATTTGGATTATATCTGGTTAAATTTTGGCATTGTCAGCAAAACTCAAGTTCTTTAGGCTATTAACAGGGTGGCTTAATGGGGGTGGGGTTTGGTCAAATAGGTCTATGAGGAGGACCTTTGAGTACTTCTCAAACTCTATATGGTGAAAAACCATTTCTTAAATTTCCAATTAGTCTTAGACCAATTTTTCACATGTAAAAGACTCAAAAATACAAGTGTAGTATTTTTTATTACGGTCAACAAACATTAGATTGTTCTGTCAAATTTCTATAAAGTTTCTAAATGATTATTCAGTTCATTTCAGTGCTTTTCTCATTATAGTCAACAAGAAAATAATTCAGGTATCCTGATAAGTCCACAGACCACCCTAAGTTTAAACAAAATGTAATTATTTTGTAACTGAAGTACCTCTTAAAGTTATTAATATGCTGATTGACACTTTAACCTATAAAAGAGGTAGATACCATATTAACATTTAGGGCACTTCCTCAATAAATAAGAGATGAGGCCTCTTCCTCTGGTTGGTGGTTTTACTACAGCACATCCCACACCAGTCTCCTGCATGCTCTATACTCATAGGCACACATGGGGCCTTCACTGTCTTTGCTTCTCCTGACTTGGCCACCATCAACATCTTGGAGCTCCACATCACC